AAAACCTGATATCGTCAGGTGTGGGTTTGACATGTGTTTTTACAAAATGAAGTAGGGCTTTTTCATTGGGATGAAAAAGCTGGTGTAGGTAGGACAGGATCTGTCGGGTGTTGGGAGATGCCTGTGGGACTGTGGGCTGTACTGTAAATACTCCCTGAGGTAGCCGAGGCAGGCCTGTATTCTGGAGTGCTGCCATCTTAGCTGCTCTGTCCGCTCGGTTGTTTCCCTTGGAGACAATGGAACTGTCAGATTGATGAGACCGGCAGTGAATAATTCCTATAGCTTTAGGGAGATAAGAAGCTTTTAGTAAGTTCATAATATGCTCTGAGTTGGTAATGGATCCTCCCTTCGCTGTGAGGAGCCCGCGCTCCTTCCAGATGGCTGCGTGAGACAACAGAATATGAAATGCATATTTGGAATCTGTGTAGACATTTAAAGACTGTCCCATGGCTAACTGAAAGGCTCGGGTGGACAAAAGGGTGAAAGGGTTGGGCACAACCGGGTATAATGGTACCACAGCAGAGTTAATGAGCCAGAGGTCCTGAACCAAACGATAAGTTCCGTTAGATTTTTTGACAGCCAATATTGGGGTGTTGAAGGGGGAAGAGGTGGGACTAAGCAGCCCCTTTCTCAGAAGGTCAGAGACTATAGGTTTTAACCCTCTGAGGCTTTGGGAAGAGAGGGGGTACTGAGCTTGGGTGATGTATCCGGTGGGGTTTTTTAACTGAATAACAACAGGGGGATGGTGTTTAGTGACAGCGGGATTCTGGGTGTCCCACACGAGAGGGTCCACTTGGGAGGCTGGAAGAGGAAAAGGCATGTTAGTATCAGAAGATCGTGGGAGAAGAAGCAGCTGTGTCTCCGACGAATCTGGAATGAAACGAGTTGGGGGCGCGAAAGAAATGAAGGCTCCCATTTCTCTCCCCAAGATCTCTCCCCAAGAGTGGAACTGGGCAGGTTGGTAAAACCAGGAATGAATGGGTGAGCAAAATACCTCTAAATACGCAGTTGAGAGGCGGAATTTGGTGAGGTAGATAAGGCTGTCCTCCCACCCCAACAATAGGGGAGATTGAGGGGAGGTTGGTCCCCAAAATTCTCTTAGAACCGAGTATGTTGCTCCGGTGTCCAAGAGAAATGAGATGAGGCGGCCCGACACAGATAGGAATACCCGTGGCTCCTGGTTGCAGATGGGCGTGGCAGTCAGGTTGTTGATGGAGCCCGGGTACCTTCAATCTTCCAGGGCCAGGCCCAGCAAGTCAGCCTGGGGAACCTCTGGGCCCGTTGGCCCCGCATTACGGAACGCACAGGGGCAGTCCACGGACCAGTGGCCCTCCCTGTGACATTTAGGGCAGGGGCCCCATGGGTTACGATGAGGATTGGGGCACCCCTTCGCCCAGTGACCCGTCTTACCACATTTGAAACAGGGCCCGGGGGCGGAGGGGCAGCGCGAACAGGATGGGCTGTGAGGTCTGTCACCTCGGCTGGCCGGGCGGGTGCAGTAATCACGTGGCAGTGATTCTTGGCTTTGTCATTTCTCGCGTGGTAAACTTTGAAAGCCATCTCCAGGAGCAGTGCCTGTGGAGTCTGGTGACCCTTCTCCAAGTGCCTGAGTTTTCCCTTGATATCTGGGTAGGATTGGTTGATGAAATGGGACATCAGGAGCTGTCTGCCCTCAGTGGATTCTGGATCCATGTTTGTGAACTGTAACATAGCTTTGGTTAGTAGGTCAAGAAATTCAGAAGGATTTTCCTTAGTATCCTGAAAAATTTCTGAGAGTTTGGAATAATCCACCGGTTTGAGAGCAGCCTTACGAAGTCCTACCATGAGACAGGTTAAGAACTGATCCCTGGCCAGAATGCCAGAGGGGGAATTATAATCCCAATGGGGTTCTTGATCAGGCACTGCCTCTGCCCCGGGAGGGTGGGAGGCTAGGGTTTGGTGTACCTCGTCGGCGTACTGCCTCGCCTGTTCCCAGACTCGTCTGCATTCCTCGGGGAGTAAGTTATTAAATAATATAGTATGCACATCGTGAAACGTGAAATCGTAGGACTGAACCAGAAATTGAAACTCCCTTATGAAATTGGTGGGGTCAGCAGTGTATGACCCGAGCAACTTTGAGACCTGAGAGAGCTCTGATAAGGCGAATGGCACATGGACCTTTACAAGACCTTCAGAGCCGGCCACCTCCCGCAAGGGTAGAACTGTAGCTGGCTTAATTTGACCGGGGCCAGTCCCCGCTATGGCCAGTGAATGTGTGAGGGGTGGGGTGAAGGTCGGAGCCAGATGGTGAGTGGGCATTTTGCACCGCGGGGCAGGGGGAGGAGGAGACAGAGAGGAGTCGGAAAGCGCTTCCTGCTGTCTGTGGCGGAAAGAAACTGTTAACTGTCTGCACGTACGGTTGCGCCTGCGGGAAGAGTGAGGTGAAGGTGGATCGGAGAAACTGGACGGGGAACCGGAACGTCGGCAAGAGCGCAAAGTCCTCGGGGAAAGAGACCTGGACCTGGGAAAATGCCTGCATGGTGGGGAACAAGAGGGAGACCTGCGGGTGGAAAGGTTAGAGCGGGGTGCGAGATCTGTTGGAGAAAGAGGGGCGGGTGAGATGTCGCGTGGCCTGGGAGGGCGGGAAGGGGCAGTCCCACAAGGCCGGGGCGGGGGGGGTGGAGGCTCGTCCGCCGGGTCCATGGCCACAGCCAGTGAGGAGGGAAGCTGTCGGGAAGAAGGATCCTGTGGGGAGGACATTGCCAGAAACATGTGAGCAGGTGAACAATGAGAAGTCGTAGACGGTTCAGTCTTTAGAGCCATGTAAAAAAATGCCATTATATATGTCATTTCTTTCCATTTTGCTGAGCGATGACAAAAAATTAGCTAACTCACGTAAGACCTCAGGGTCAAATGAGCCCTGAGAAGGCCAGCGGAGATCGCCCTGTAATTTATAACGGGCCAAGTCTTGGAGCAAAGACGAACGAGTTTATTCATTTTAATGGATGGAATGAGGGTGTGGGGTTTTAGAGATTCCAGGAGCTGACCGAGGGGGGAACCAGGCGGAATGGTCTTAGATGGTCTAGAACCCATGGCAATTGTGGTGCTGACCGCCAGAGGCACACGGAGGTGCAACGGACCGCTGCAGGTCCTCGCTTACAGGCGTCCAAGTAAGGAGGAGGCCGTGCTAGGGCGAGATTGACTCCAAACCGGCAACCGATGGGCACCAAGCCCGGCCGGGAGGAGGGCAATCAGGCCTTTAGGGGCTGACCATACAGCCAGAAAGGTGCCCGCTCCGTTAGCGGGCCCAATGGGAGGACAGGAATGAAGGAAGAAAAGTAGGAAAACCAGGGGCACCAAACCCTGGGGAGAGAACGACTGAGAGCAGCGAGTTCCCAGTGGCGGCAGAACCAAATTAGCCAGGGGCAGAAGGCCAGGAGAGGAGCAGGGAAGGAAGGCAACTCAACCCCGGATTCGCCAGGGGAAGCCGGCCGGACGTTCCCCAGGCGTGCCAAGGAAAGAGAAGCCAGCGGGGTAAACTCACGAATCAGGCAGAATCAGTTGCAGATGTGGTGATGGCCATGGTGAGCGGTGGTGGCTGTAGGTCCCGGTTCTGACTCTGTGTCCGGCGTGAGGTCCCGGGCTCCGGGAGGCGCCAGAGGCCCAGAGTCCGGACCTCGGGTGGAGAATCCGGCACAAAGAAGTCCCCGAGTCATTACGCACAGCACCAAATATTATTCCTTTAAAAACGGCGGGGTGGGGTGTGTAGACGAACACAGGATAGACGAGACATGCGCAAAAGGAAGAGACAAGACATGCGGCTCCCACGTGGGTGCACTTTAATGGGGAGAGGGAAACACGATAAGGGATGGGTGTGTGAGACACACAAGGGTGGGGGCAAGAGAGAGCGAGATCTCGTGGAAGCTCGCTTTTTAATGGGAAGCGCAAGGTTATCTGGGAGAAATGACCCGCACCTGGGCACGCCAGCGTGCGCAGGTATCGGTAATCCAGGAGGAGTCTGGGAGCTGTAGTTTCCAAGGGAACAACACCAGGGTCTGGTTCCCAGCACCTACATCTGGGACACAGCCACCTCTGATTCCAGGTCCAGGGATCCCACACGGTCTTCTTACATCATTAGCTACATGCACTCCTGTGTGCATACCCCATACAGAAACACACATGCATTATTTAAAATCAAACAAAGTCATTTTAAAAAGTTTTATTCCTGATAGAAGCAGAATTGGAGACCTGCTAAAATGTGAGACGGTGAAAGGAGCCCTGAAATCTGACCTCAGGCCTGGCCTCAGGCTGCTGCTGTCAGTCAGACCCCATCCAGCCCTGTCCCTGTGCATTTGAGCTAAGGATGAGAACAGAGCAGGCAAGAAGACTGCTGGAGACCTGACAGGACACAGGCTCACCGAGTCCCCTGGTTCCTCAGAGAGAGTCTTCTAGAGGGAGCAACAGAGAGGAACCTGGTGTATCCTGGTGATCACTGAGGGGCTTCCTGGAAGGACTGCCTGGAGGTGTCTGCCCATCTCTCTCCAGGTTCACATCTCAGAAGGGTGGACAAGTTCTTTGTCCTTAGGCCCTGGTGGCCACTGTGACAGTTTTCTCCCACCCTTGAGTTCTAGCTGGAATGACAACTCCTCAGTCAGTGCTCTGATGAAGAGTGTCTGTCAAGCTGAGGGATCTCCCCCTACAGCTCCACTTTTGTTGAGGTCTGAGGGAAAGCTTCTCTTTGTCAGGATCCAGCTCTGGATTCTGCTGCTAACCCGAGAGATAACTTGAAAGTGTTTGGCCTTCCTTCCCCATCTCTCTCCAACACAAATACTCTTCCACTCAAGCCAATTTAACCAGGAATAAGACAAGAAAGGGATCACAGCCAACTCTTGGGAAATCTTCTCCCTAGACACAGGGGTGACTGAGAACAGTTGGTATTTGAGAGGAATCTTGTTGTTGTTGCTTTGGGGTTGCTGTTTTTCTATCTTTGCATAAATAAGGCACTCCTGGGAACTGGTGTGCCCCTTTGCAGTCCACTAATCCACTGGCTCCCCTCTCTCCCTCTCCTGTCATCACATTGCAGAAAAGAAGGAAGGCACAGTATTTCAGAGCAGCACATTTAAGATTAGAGAAATACTTTCGATTCTCTTTTCCTCATATGGGTGGAGCCCTCCCTAGTGAGTTAGTAATACTCAGGCTGACTTCCTGCTCTCAGCTGTGGGCCACAACTCAGGGACTGGAAGCCTGTGAGAAGACCAAGGATCAGAGCTCACCCTTCCATGACCCTGGCAGGACCTGGGAGACAGAAGGTGGCAGCTTCAGCAACAGGTGAGTCTTTCTCCCTCTGTAACTTTGCCCTCTGACAGCTTGGGTGATTTCGTGTCTTGATTAAGTGGCTGAAGCTTCAGTCAGTCCAAAGTCCTGGACGTGAAGAAGTTCTGCACTGTAGTTAGAGAGGAGAGACAAGAGAGAGGAAGAGAGAGGGAGAAATAGAGACAGAGAGACAGTCAGAGAGTGACAGAGACACACAGAGAGACAGAATCAGACAGACAGACAGACAGAGACAGAGAGAGGAAACACTCTGAGCTTTTAAAACTGAGTACGATATCTGCTGACGAGGCCAGCTTGTCATCAACCACAGTCATAACGTTCTTGTGTGCAGCACAGTCAGCTGTCAGGGACACCTGGTGACCTCTGTGACATGACTCTGTTGTTATCTCATGAAATCTGAGTGTTCTCAGTCCCTCTGCCTCTCTCTGCTTTCACTAAGTCACCTCAGGGAGAAAATTCAAATAGCAGAGTCTCAGAGTCAGCAACTGGCTCTCCTACCTGTCTGGCAGGATTGTCACCTAGGAAGCTGTCCCAGGCTCACTCCTGGTCTGAGCTCTCACTGTCAGATTTGAATCAAGAAGAAAAAAAAAATAGGCCGTTACTAGCTGCGGCCATGGCAAGCTACACGGTTTTACTGTTGATCCTCCCAATCCAAGAGGAGGTGAGATCCTTCCATTTTCTGGTGTCCTCTTCTATTTCTTTCTTCAAAGACTTAAAGTTCTTGTCAAATAGATCTTTCACTTCCTTGGTCAGGGTTACCCCAAGATATTTTATGCTCTTTGTGGCTATTGTGAAAGATGATGCTTCTCTGATTTCCCTCTCTGTTTCTTTATCCTTAGTGTATAGGAAGGCCACTGATTTTTTGGAGCTGTAGGAGTTCTTTGGTGGAGTTTTTGGGGTCGCTTATGTATCCTATCATATCATCTGCAAATAACGAAAGCTTAACTT